GGAATGGGCGCACTGTGCTACTTATCCCTTGAAACTATTTGCCGGCTCAGATCAAAAGATTCTCAGCATAGCGACAACCTTACAAGTATATCTCCCAATTCATTCATCCCTGACTTCTGATTGCAGTGGGTTGGCACCCATCTGTTATAAAGGTGTCGCAGACAAAAGTGCTGTCAAATCCTAAATATCTGTGACATCCCTAATTTATTAATTAATATTTCAAACTACAATCTATTTTCAGCACTTTTATTGATCATCCAACTTTATTTGTAGGATATTTACTATTCTCAATGTGAACGAAACTTACCAGTAGCAAATACTAGCTATAACATCAAGATGGATGATTTTTTCAAACTACGTATATCAGCAGTCTGATTCCACCGGTAGCACTTCTTGGGTTACTGACAATACAAGACTTAAGAAAAAGGATCAGGCTTGGGCATAGAATTAATAACCCAGTCCAGTAGAAAAGCATCATTGCTTGCACCATCGCCCCAACAGTTGAAAGTTTTTCATTTAGTAGAGTTTTGACGCCTTATGATGAATGCCATGATTCCTCAGAAACCACGAAACCGACGTTCATTTTGACTAACAGAGCGATAATTAAGATAGGTTTATAGAAGGTCCACATCATGTGGGAGACCGAGTGGACCATTCCAGATGCAGAAATGGAACTATGCGACTTGTCGGTGCGCGAAATAATCAAAACCCATTGGATGCACGTCGACAGAAAATATTAGCCTCCAGAGAGGTGCCGTTATACTCTAGACGTAAAGAAGAGGATGCTTCACACACACATACAAGATGTTGCTTTGATGCTGTCCAAATAAAAAGGAAGGCACTCATAAGATGGGAACCTTATATATCTACAGTCATCAAAGCATTCCTCAAAAAAAACGAAGGAAGAGATTATAATAAATTTCATTCAGCGCCATGAACCTATCATTGATAGCGATGAAGATGATAACAATCAGTTTTAAGAAAAGCTGCAGTCGACAGTAGATAAGTGCCCAAGAAATTAGCTGACCATGCTGATCAGAGACCTGTACTCCAAGGATAGAATGAACAACACCGTGTATGAAGATATCATGAGACGACATGGACTTGGAGGAAGGAAGGAGATTGGTGAGCGATTCGCAAATTAGTGTGCCTTCAACAAAATTGTTATAGTTGGCACCATACTCATCTCACAAATGCATATATAAGAATACCTGTATTTCCATGAATCACAACACACAGAACCGATTTGATCGAATTCGCAGCACCTATGGACCTTCCTATATATGTCACTTCACCAACGATTGAAGAAGTCAAGATGGCAAACAGACACATTAATAGTGGGCAAGCAGTGAGATCAGACAGCATGACACACGAAGCGCAATCGTTTGAATAGGACTAATCATCATACATCAACTTTCTCGACCACGAGAAAGCATTTTGTAATGTGGGTAGGGGAACCTTATAAAATCATCTTCAACACTAGTGCACCTGAAATGATCATCAGCATCAAACCGAATTGTAGTTAACATCACTGGACTGTGTTTATCTAGATAACTATTGTTAACTGAGATACATTTGGCATTTTTTTCTTTCTATCATGAGACAAGTCAACACCGAGCATCCATAAACCCTTCGGAGATCGGGTTGTAGAAGCAAGAGTTGTGGTGGTAACTCTAAAGACAAATACGATATCCTATATACTTGCTCTCAGCCCTCAAATACCCTTAAAAAACCAATCTTATTAAAAAGCTCAATTAAACGACACCTTATAGGGCTGAACTTACATTCAAGCTATTTCAGATACACATTGATTTAGTGATTATTAACCACAAGGTTTCGCTGACTTAGCAATTGTCATTGAATGAAAAATCATAGTGAAATAATTATTACAACAAAAAAATTTATTGATGATCAAGTAAATAAATGCAACTGGAATACACTGAAAATTGACGAATAAAACTTGCGAGAATGCTGTGAGTTTACCGAGCGAAAATCATCTTAAATTGATATGAGAAATTAAGATTGATATTTTTCTCATACGTTATGTTTGAGTATATAGTATCAACAATAAATCAAAACCTGAAGCTTCAGACCTTACGGAGATCACCCAACATTTAGGCTACTCAATAGTCATTTTCCTATCAACAGTCTCATGGAAAAAAGAAAATTTTATCTTTACTTAGTTAAGCATCATCTTAAAACGCATCCACTTGAAAAGTTCACTGGTTCATATTTGATTGGTTAAATATTAAATAGGAAAAATAGTAGCAAAAAACATTTAAACAACCGGGGTTTTATTATTTATTTATTTATGTAATTTTAGTTTCAATTAATGTTACTTTCTGTTAAAGCACTTGTAATTACTAAAATAGTAATTAAAGAACCGATATTGTTATTACGAATAAGTAATAAGTAGAATACTTATTATTATTAGTATTATTATTATTATTATTATTATTATTATTACTATACATGAGTGACCGAAATATTTCTGTAAAGTCCAAAAGTAAGTAAAAAAAACAATCACCGTAAAGGTAACCAATCAGACGAAAATAAAAATACGGTTCAAAATAATAATAAACACGAAAAACGTTCAACAAACATTTTTTGAAAAGAAATTGTCTTTAAGTAGTCCGTAAATAAAAATCTAAAATAACAAGTACAAATTAATACATATAGATACCACTATTAGTAGAGTGTATAGAAAATATAAATCTATGTTGGCATACCAAGCGTGATAATATTCTAAAACGTTTTATTATTAGATTACTGAAAGCATTCAATATAAAGCCCTTGACCTTGAATGTATGCTAGTTGGCATTTATCAAGAAGGTGGATCTACAGTCTTAAGGTAACTGATGATCCCTGTAGAATTCAAACATGTTTCATCCAGTTTAGTAGTTAGAGCAGTCATCCCTAAAATATACTCAACAGTAATACAAAGTGATTATGACGTAATTCACCTGAATGAATGATCATATTGCAGCTTGATAGAAAGAATTTGATCAGCACTAAGGACTATACAAACATAACACTGGTTGTCACATAGAGACCAACTGTTTGATGAAGATATATCCAGCTGACTAGTTCTAAAAAGAACGCATTTTTGACCATTAACCTTCTCTTCTAAAAAACTTATGGAAAATAGCCATATCGAGGCCACCCAAGAAGGAGGCAGGTAAGACTGATCGAAATTCTACCAGGAATGTCAGCAAAGGGATAGCTTAAAAGACCTTATAAATCAAATTAGACTCAAATCAGTTGCACAACTGAGTGGACATTTGGATTCAGTAGCTAATGGGATGAGTAGGCTTTTGAGTCGAGAAGTTCTAAGTTCCAATTCCGGGGTCACATCAACCCGGATGTAAGTACATCCAAATGGGACAAGATGTGCATCTAAGATTCCACTATTAGCCACATTCAAGTTTTTGTATAAGAGTGACCGTTATTGTAATTAACATTTATGATTTAAAATTCAGGTCCAGTTTGAATGAAGTCTTATTTTTACGAATAATAGACTGAAGTCACTGATTTCGGCGAGCTGAAGTAATGAGTAATAGAGAAACGGTACCTTAGAATATTAGGTACAGAGTTACTGTACAATTGATTGGTCATGGAATAGTGATCATTCCCATGTTTGTCTAACTTTTTAAGACTTATCGAAATCTGTCGATTAAGTTAGTGTTGGCTCTAGTCTGAGTGACTCACTAAGCCGGAATGATAGGTGCGTCGAGGTGGTCAACAGAAAGGCCGAACTTAAGTTGTGTGCAAAAGCATATCCGTTTAGATTTCACAGGGGTATTCCGTTTTCTTAAGATTACAAGCTCTCCTTGCTGACAAACACAAATTACTGCGAAACCTAGGTTCAGAGAGCTCAGTCGGCTTTCATCCACCATATAACAAAGTGCAGATTTATACTCCGATGTCAGTTGAGTGGTCTTGATCTTATGCATGAGTTCGAGACCTAAGGCCCTGTGTTCGAGTCCCGAGTGAGGGATCGCGGATGCATGCTGCTGAGAATTTCAATACTAGGACGAAACGGCCGTCCACTGCTTTCAAGTTTTTGATGGTGATCTAGCGTTGATCGGTTTATAATCACAATAAAGACCTAACAATCTGCACAACCTTAAGCTGATAATTAACACGTACTGATATGTTTGTGTATACGAAATAAGCTAGGAAATAAAGTTTCTTTAATTATTTCATTATCGTATGTTAATGTTAGTATTCCACTTCAACAGTTTTAAGGTATCGTATTAAGCGCGATTATTTGTGAATTTCAAGGTTCATTATTGAATACATTTATGAGCGTCCGTATATAAAAAGTTAAAAATTTAAATTAAACAACCACCAAGTAATGCTTAATCTTCAATAGGTAGTAAACATATATCAGCCCACAAAACATATCATTATAGTATATATATCACAACATAATTTCAGGAAATCTTTTATTTAGCTTTTCTTATATCCTATACCATTTTGTTGGTTTGCTCATAATTGATTGGTTAATTCACAGTACCAATTAACAGATGGGAAATTTACACTAACTCTAATCCAATCGGATATCATTGTGCTATTTTCCGATTTATCACGATACATTTGGAAGAAAAGAAACTAGTGAAAAATAACAGAAAAAAGAAACCAGTTAGATAAATACAAGCTTTTTATAAAATTGGTTATAAAACAGAATACCTTCTTCAAAAAGACAAGAATTTACTTTTTACAAAGCCTATTGTTGTTGGTTCACTTTCATAAACTGACGTAGCGCATCTTCTCACTATACCATAAACTATAGCTCAAAAACTTTAAAATTTAAAAACAGCTCAAATCAAGCGAACAGAACATCTGGAGAATAAGTTTAAAATATTGGATACTGAATTAAAAATAAGGAAGCGATTGTTGAAACATATACATATATATACTACACAATAAAATCAACGACAGCTTTTATTTTAAAAAATTTCAAATTTTAACAAACTTAATCAACTGATCGCCCTAATATGAAATATTTTCTGAAATCGAGCATGTATTCTATCCAAGTCATTTTGATATTTTATTCAATTATACTATACATTGAAGCATTTCATTCAGATGACGGTAGGTTACGTCCAATATTCTTTGGTTTTCTTTATGATTCCTAATTTTCCTATGTATGTGTATTGGTCACTTGTCAGAAAGAGTTTAACATCATGTTTTGTGAATAGAAACTAATGTATGGATTAAACTTAGTCCTATATGATTAGATCAAAACTAAAATTAACAGTGAATAACTTGTCGATATTTCTTGTAAGATATCTTGCAGATTGTAGGCAAAAGTACAAATCTATGGTAAAACAGCTCATCATATACGGATGACTATGAAACTGGTGAATTCTTTTAAGTTGATTGAACTTTATATTATGGTATATACTAAGTAATGATGTGGCATACCACCATTTCTACATTATAGATATTTAACTGACTAGTTCATAAAAATTATATTGTATCTTATATTGATCGTTATTTTAAGTGACAAAATCTATCTCTGTACATTTGTTTTCCTGAAAGAATTAAAACTAGGTAGTGCATGTATGAAGCATAATTTAACTTGACTAGTATTATGGAAAAATATCAAAGATAATTCTATTAGGTGTTTTGTTCAAATGTTTTCTATGAGAAACATTGTTAAGTAACATTTAACGTACTGAAGTAAAATAATCAAAGTTTGAAAGTTTAACTCACTAGTTGAAACAAGCTTTTCTCTTCTAACTTGCATATAGTTTCCACTAGACTAACTGTAAGTGATATAGTTCGATAATGGGGCTGATATTACCGATGGCATTGCATGGTCATTGTTTGGTATTCCGAGTAAACTGTAGCTAGAAATATTTGTCACTGAATTTTAACTCAGTGATCTAAGTGTAACGTACTCAATACGACATGAAGGTATGGGATGTTGTTAGTGTTCATTACTCAGGTACAACAGAACTATCCAGTAATTCATGATTTCCAGATGATGGAAAAGATTTGTAGCTTATATTAATGATTTAGACTACTTCGTTCTTTGATATAGATGATTCGATCATGAAGCTTTTATTTTTCTTCCGAACAATATCACTAACAAAGACTAAGTAGAAGCGAGCTATTCGAATTTCTCCACTTATGACTGTTAGCTTGTTCTGTTGACTTTGATATTGATCGGTTATTGCTAATCTTTGTCCTGTTTTTATCTGCATATTTATTGTGATTGTTCTCCTTCTCAACCTGATTTTCGGTTTGTTGTTTGTCCATGGGTTTTCTTATTGATTGATAGACTGGATCGATTTAGATGTGTTTATTGATTACTGATTGACCTGAGTTCAAGGCTTCTAGAACAAATATGCGGATAATAACAGGATAAAGATTAACAATAACCGATCAATATCAAAGTCAACAGAACAAGCTAACAGTCATAAGTGAAGAAATTCGAATAACTCGCTTCTACTTAGTCTATGTTAGTGTTGTTCGGAAGAACAATAAAAAATAAACTCAGCCTAAACTTTATTTTCTCGACAAAAATCAGTCAGTAATGTAAATAATCATAAAAGTGCAGAGTTATATGAATATGCCCACAGAATGTGACTGATTAATATTCGTGAAATAATTTTATCATATAGACAGAAGTGTATCAGTACTAGACAAGCATAAAATCGGTCACTAATAAGTGATTAATCAATTTCAAATCTTTCAATTTTCAAAATATTCATAAAAGATCGAATAGCTCAATGGTTGCGTTTCAGATTGTGGATCTGAATTACTCGAATTTCAGATCATTATGGCTTAACAATTATCTTCAGACCAGAAGCATTCACTACTGATGGGTATCAAATAGCCAGAGGCTCAAGTCCAGGGTTTCTGGTTATCCACCTCCAAACATCGAACATGATTATGTAATTTAAATAGAACTGAAAATTTCTAAATATATTCATCTTGTTAAGTTTTGTACATATTAGCTTAACATTGTATTTTATCTCTCTTTCCGTCTCTCTCTCTCTCTCTCTCTCTCTCTCTCTCTATATATATATATATATATATATATATATATATATATATATATATATATATATATATATATATATATATATATATATAATTGTGATTAAAATAAGTGACAAAATATTCTAGACCACTGAAACATAAAACAATAACAACATTCATGTCCACAAGTTCTCATCTTTTTACAAATTGAGTGTAAAGCCTGCTTAAATAATAATTGTTCTATAATTATTATCATTCTATTAACTGTATTCATCACATAATCTAATAAATAAAACCACATCAGACTAATCTGTGACAATAATTAACATTAAATTATGTTCACTCTTGACTAGATATTAACAAGGATCAAAGCTTCATTTATTATTATTATTATTAATTGGTTTATTAAATATTAAATGTTCCGGTACAATATGGAATTCTCAGCACAAAGTATTTCAACGTTTCCGTTTCTTGTTTCTTGCTCGATATTGACGATAAATGTTGAGTGATCGCCTGTTAGATATTAGCAGTTCAGGAATCGACGTCTTGTCAATGCATATTGCCGGCCACCAATATGTCTTTGATTGTACTATTTTTTAACTTGTACAGCAAAAGGTCTTAAACTTTTCACAAACGTACCTGAATGGGTTATCAGATTATTAAACATAATGATGTGTTAAGATAAACAAACACAGATAACTAATTGAAATATCAAGATGGCGGGAACATATAGCCCATATATTCAAGCAGGCCGACAATATATTCCTAGGATATTTTATTGATACATTATGAACTAGACTAAAACAGCTTTCTATAATGTTGAATTTATTCATTTATTCTTCAGAAATAACAAAACGTAAATAACAAGAACGAACTAATTGACCGAAATACTTATAAGAAACTCTTTGAACCAGTAATTTTTATTTTTTGTTGTTTGCAGTGAAGTATGAAACAATTTAGATGATGCGATCGAAAATCTAATTCAACATTATGGAACTATTCTTTCTTTTTTTGTTTAAAAAGTTTAAATCTTAACTGATTCTAGATGTTAATAGTTGAATTCATGGGTCAATCCAAGCTAGACTACCATTGAAGACCTAGAAACACTGGACGGCTGTTTCGTCTCAATATGAGACTTCTCAGAAGTTCTCATCAACAACTAATGTAATCTATGGCAATGGATCAATGGTTGCACAAGATCATCAATTGATTGAAGTTAGATATCAACACTGTTTGGATGATGGCTCAGTGGTCTAGAGGTTAAACATTGTCGCTCGAGACCATCAGTACTTGGTTCGAGTTTCGAGTGCAGGATAGTGGATGCGCACTCCTGAGAAGTTCCATGTTGGGACGAGACGGACGTCCAGTGCTTCCAGGTCCTTAATGGTGGTCTAAATTAGATCGATTCATGATTCCAACGAAATAAAATTATATAATTCATTATATATTTTTTCTACAAAATAATGTAAAACATGCTAGTGTTTACAACATTCCATAATCTATGGTGATAAAAATGAGCTTTATGTTAAGTATCATTCATAATCTTGTACTCAATAGTTTGTCGGCTTTTTTGTAGAAAACGGCCTGCCTAACACTGTGATGTACGTTAATTATGCTTACAGATATATGTAGTATGTAACTAGAGGCAGAAGTGGGATGTCTAAGAGCAGAAATTTAAGAAGATTGAATTGAAAAGAAGGGAGAGGGAAGCTGAAACTAATCAAAATATAAACAGGTATGAAAGAAAAATTAAGCTTGTAAGAGACAATTCAAAGAAGTTGTGCGAATGATATATTTGACGTATTATTTTCACATATAACTAAACCATTGTGTGATTAAACATAAAACAATAGACTGGTTGTTCCCATTTGGGTTGTCGACCACTTCAACTCATCTATCATCATATAAAGGATGAAATTATAAATAGATAAAATTAGGAGTTGAAATATCTAGTCAGAATATAGGCTTTCACTACATATTTGGAGAGTATTACGTAAAGACATTCATGTTCAACGTTTTATCCTGTTTAGAACTTATGAACTTGTGATAGAAATTTAAGACTGAATGCTTTAAACATACTGTGTCCTATTAAGATACTAAATCAAAATAAATATCAACACTACATATGATATGTATATCATGAAATTAGCTGAATTCATCAATTTCAGTCGAAATCTACATGTTTTGAACTGATTTTATTCTCATAGTAATTAGTTACGGTACTTAGAAAACATATGTACATCTATTTAACAAGTCCGGAATAAAACCGACTGTACATTTTGAAGTTCATTAGTTGGTTATTGTCTAAAATAAATAGTTATCTTATAAATCTACTCACTACTGGAATCCATATCTTAACAGTGATTCATTAGTTCAGATTTGATTATCAACAACATGATTGTAATACCGAATAATATATTGATTTGAATAGTTTCTAATTTGATAATCAATTTATGATAAAAGAGGTTGATTACTAAAACATGCTGTTTTTAGTTTATAGACTAAGTCTTCATAATAAAGACAAAAAATGCGTTCAACTACATATTTTATTATGGACACTTCGATAGAAAATAGAATTATATGAATGTAATAAGTTTTTGAGGTCCTAAAGTATATGACTACTTTGTCAAGATGTTCTATTTCACTAAATTAAACATCTGTTATTCACTGCTTTCCTAATCATCCTTATTTTACTTTAATTGTTGGACGTTATTTTATTTACACCATACAAACTGTAAAATCTTTTAAAATAATTATGATTTACTTAGAGATGTTTTAAGAAGTAACATAGCGAAATATAATCCAAACATTTATGGAATATACAAGTAGCTTGATATTGAAGTTTATCAAGTTATATCTTCATACATTCAGTGATTCAACTTGTAGATTAATTAACTGATTATATGTTCAACTTTGAACTACTATTTAGTTCCAAAGGACATCAAAGTAGATAATGTAGGTTATGAACTGTCGATCGACTAATTGATAACCGGATGATTTATCCATCAAATATCCGCGTTTTTTTAATTGTTGTTCACCTCGTATAGAATAGGATTCTGGCTCTCATGTCCTGGAGCTGTTTGTTATTACCTAGTGGTTTA